GAAAAAATATAATACAGTACAAAATATACACCACAAAACATTCAAGCTTACGTTGGCAAGCTTATCAAAATTCACAGGCGTCAAGCATTTCTTCAGAGACCGGCGACGCGATCGAAATCACAGTTACAAACACAAGCAACACACCTACCTAAATACCTACATTTATGAACGCTCGTATTGCACATTACTTGAGCAATTGTCGTACTGTTACTATGATCATATTTTTAATGGCTTGTTTCGAGTAGCCGAGAATAAAACCTTGTTTATTTATAATGTTCAATATTATATTATGTAATTCGAACGAGGTCGTAATTGAAGAGGCAAACTAAAAGGATGGGGATGGACAAAGAAATTCAAAACCCAAACGCTATTGGGACCGGCTCTTCGCCATATCAGTAACTGTGTCCAACCAAACGTGTTCATCGTCGTTGGGACCCTAGCCAGGCAATCAGGATGCACTAACCGGTAGTGAGCGCATGTCCCTGAAACATCACCACTTCTTTCTGAAACTGATCTTTTTCTCGCTAAAGCTTGATAATCTTCTGCATACAACGATGCAAGAAACGGTGGAGATTAGCTTCACGCTATTCTTTCGTCAAGTCGTTAAGCAGCACATCGTCTGCCAACCTGTCATACCCACTAAATCGCCTACCGCTTGTACCAACCATTTTGGAAAAATCTCGCTCGAAACATTCAAATCAAATGGCAAACGCAGCCAACGATAACGCCCGAACGGCATGACACAGTCGTATGAAAACTGGGTTCTTCACCTAGAACGACGTACCAGACCTCGGAAGATAATTCTACTTTCGTAAACTACTTAGCTTTGGTCAAACGCGGAAATGTGTCTTGTTGTGTCGGTAGCGCATACTATTAAGTACGCAGCATTTCATTCAACGGCTTCGGGTCAATAGACACGCGCAGTTCGCCTGTCTTATTCGTAATGATTACGACCTGATTAGCCCAACCGGCTGGCTGGTCAGGTTTGGCAATCAGGTCTGCCCTTACTAATTCACACAATTCAGCGGAAAACCAGTCACGTAGCGCAAACGGAACTTTTCTAGTGGGCAGCGCAGTCGGTAGTATCAATGGATTTAACGATAACTGAGCGGTGCCTTCAAATTTTCCAAAACCCAGGCTAGATACCATCGTATGCTGGCCACTAATATCGGATTTTTCCATGGCAAGCATGCACGAAACGATCACGGTTAAAAGAACTGAAACCATGAGACTAAAGTGAATCAATGCAGAGGATCGACGTGAAGGATTCCTGCACGACCTCAGAGTCCAGCTCATGTGACGCTGCGTCCCTAGGTTAATAACCTTGATTGTAACCGCGCCCTTCATATGAAGTCTGCAGCAATTCGACATGCGTAGGGAATCTTGATCGCATCAGACGCACACCGCGGGACAATGCTTCCTGGGTAGAATATTGACAGTATCACCCGGGTCTAACTGAAATCGTATGGCTCTGCCTTCGATCAAAAGACTTGCATAGACAATTTTTTATGAGGCGTTCCGAGACAAGTTGTAAACTGGATGTACTGTATCTGCGAGTGACATTACGAACGAGCGCACCCACACTGGTTTACTGACAGCAACGAGCAAAGTGGTTCGTTTTCCACATTTGACAAATTTCTTTCCTGACGCCGGACACAGTTATCAGGTTCTCGGGTGTAGCGCAGCTCAACCTCATCGGCGATTCGGTAGAAAGACGGCATGCTGTCGCACAACTTATACTTTTGTTCTCAGGATTTATGGAAATTAGCCTTTCTGCAAGTAGTGTTAATGGTCGTAGCTGGCTAGGGCAGTCGTCTATTGTGTCATTGACCACGAACCGGAGCTCATTATTTCGCTGTTACAGGCACAGGTAAGCGGCCCAACTGACAGCATTTACACAGAAATCAGCAGCTTATGCACTGTAAACTGAATGAGTATACTCGAAAAACAATCTAGTTCTGAGAGCAACCTACAAGTAAATCTTTCTCATCGCTACCATACAGACCCCTAGTCTCGGAGTGGATAATTATCAGCATTTCTACCTGCTTGTCAATGCTATACACCAACGCGTAATTGATCAACCTACGAGACTTTCTGTCATCAGAATCTATAGAAACATTTTATTGCTTGGTCCGGTGTAAGCAAAAGCTAAAGCACCGGTCAACAAATCGCAAGTCCTCAGACTTGCACTTCTTTCAACAGCTACAAGTACCACACTGTCATGTACTCACCGAGGGTACGCCTATTCTCGTATGAACGCGACGAGTGAGTCCGCACAAGCTCAGTATTGCTCGCGCATAATTCCAATACGTGCTGCAGCTCGGAATCGTCCTACCTCCAAAACTCCTCGGGAATCTCCTGTACACATGGTATCGTAGATGTTCTGAGGGTGGAAACCGTGTGCAGACTGCGACGCGTCGAGTGACATAAAGGGTCCGGATATACATTTAGTTCTACCCATACAGAATATTGATGTCCAGCATGTGTAGCATCCCCCTGCATTGCATGATTGATTCGGTGAGATTTTATCGTTAGATCCCGGTTGCCAACAGGCAAATCGCCAAAACCGTTGTCATCACACCATTCAAAGTCTACGGATGTCTGGAAGTGACATCCAGGTTGCGCAAAGGAGCACAAACTTTCCAGCGCTTCATCGACTCTATCGTACGTATTCATCTTTGTGCGCCAGTATAAAGCATCTCTGTGACAAGTTCATCAGTAGGGTAATACGATGCGTATCTCAGACTTCTATTTAAACGTCTTAAAGTGTAAAACCTCACCGTCAACCCCGACAAGTAGGTCTCCATGTAGACTAGCTTAAAGTCCTTTGGAGACTAACTGGATCTTGATGAAATCCTACCTGCGCATGACAAAGAAATGTTATTCGCAACTTTCCCTCCCTGACTACTTTGGAATTTTTCCGACGTTTCAGTTACGCTAGCAACTATTATCGCCGCTACTTGCTACAGTGCACCAAACCCATGAAAAATGTCAAGCATCTTTCGCTTGGACGCTACGATGGTATGGTTGAACGCGCTGAAAAAGGAACTGGCGTTTCAAGTGAACAAACTGGCGCTTGCTTCTGAGGTCATGCTGCAACATTTCGTTCTGAAGATACCGATCAGGTTAACACTCGACCCATCGGAAAATGCTACTGACGCCCTCCTACAGCTTTTCTCCGACGAAAAATTACAACCGCTTATGCCGTATTCTCAAAGGCTAAAATCTGCAGAAAGCAAACTAAACAAATTCGGCCGGAAGTTCCTCGACGTCTATTGCACCGCCGATCAGTTCTTGTACATTTTGGAAGGATATCTCAGTTACAAACCGCTGTCTTGTGGCCTTCGAAAATTATCAGCTTAACAGACCCCGTGAATGCATGTCCAGCCAGATATTGTAACTCTATTCTAGATGGACTCACATGTCCTTTCTAGCTAAAGCGGCTTGAACCACGATGACGTCGCTATAGTACCGGCAGCCAGCATCAGCGACCCTGCACTGCTTCGTGGCGTATCCGACGAATTCGTCAGTGGAGACAACCACAGAAGTATCACTACGTCGTATTCTTATGGTCGTACCGATCGATAAAAGCCTGAAACCATTTGTGCATTCAACTGCGCAGTGAAATTCTACTCGTTTATAGGAAGAGAGAGCTAGGCAAGCTATCGGAATCGGTTGGCATACTTCCAGTAACTATTTCATCTTCTCCCTTTCTTTTCTCTCCGGGCCTAAATCAAGAGATAAAACCTGCCAAAACCTTTTGAAAACCCAAAAAACGGTGGAATATCTTGAAAATCACAGATGAGTCCTTTTCACCCGTGCTATACTGATTTACCTAATAAGAGCTCACGTTACGTTAGTTCTTGAGACTGTCGCACGTCTCACCTTTTTGATGTGTTTTCCATCTCGATAGATGTAAAACGCAGAACAACAGTCTGGCTTGTCGAAACCCACGAAAATATGTTACGTTGTGAGCGCCTTAGGGAAGATGCGGTAGGAGGTCGCTAGGATCCGTTTGAATTAGCGTCTCCCAAGTAGATGCATCAGGTCTAAACACCTGATGTCCAAGAATTCCTCATGCAGAATGCAGGGCCCCTCGCAACCTTTCTTATGGCAGTAAGCTGTGTAACTTCCTGATGATTTCGCTTTGCCTGCGGTGTGCTGTGTAAAATAATTTAGAAAAATAGTCTATCATGTACTCAGGTGAGTTAGAGAGTGCACCAGAATTGTGTGCTCGCCGCTGGCGAAATTCTACTGGCTTCCCACAGGCTCACGCATTGGTGTACATCTTAACTGTGCGATTGGGTGCAAACGTGAGGTAGAGTTTCGCTTAGCAATTTGATTACCCGCTCTCGACGTGACTAGCTGGGAAGAATTAGCAGGTAGTGCCTGCTTAAGAAGAACAGCGCACCGGCTAACGCCTGTACAACGTCACGGAAGAGCAAATGTGAAAAAATTCCTAGGGTCTTATTTATGTTTGTTTTACTCTGTTTCCGAATGAAGTTCAATTTATATTCGTTTTTGTATCGCGGCTATTTAAATGTCGATTAGTATCTGCATCTTAATGAAGTATTTCACTTCCGTTCTGTGTTGATAGCAGCAACCTTGATTGAAACCAATTACTTCGTATTGTTATCGCTCAGAAAAGGGTCTAAGGTTCATCACACAAAAGGTGGCTTCCGTGGCTTTAGCTACAAGCGCACTTTGACGCAGCCCCTGGGATCAGGAGCATTGCCTGAACAAGCTGTGACCTAAAATTGTGCAGGCTTCTAAGTGCATGCATAACTTACTAGAACGTTTCGTACGGTAGAGTACAGTGTTTCATCTTTCAATTTACCCTGTTAACGTTAGTTCGAATCCAAGTACAAACTGATGTTACGCATTGTCAATAGAATATTGGATTTTCAAACCTTATCGCTTTCTGTAACTCTGGGTACCCCGTACCTCTATCTGTTACATTAGATTGAAGTAAAACTAAATCCTATGACAAACACACTCACCTCGGAGAGAACACGAGTGTTGGCCCCAGTTTCTTTGTAGGACATCGAGGAGTCCTTCGCAGTGATTTCTTTGTCATGTTTGTCCTCTGCAGCCTAGGGGATAAAAACCCCAAAGTATTGTTACTTTGCAATTATAAATCTTTAATGAAGTGGCAACCACAGGTGACTCGTTGTAGGTAAATTGCGACAGCGCCCATCAAAATGAGGATATACGGCCTAATACAATTACTTTGTTGATCTAATTTTATCATAGGTTCTATGCCATTATGATCTTACATACAGTATACATATTTGCTAGTTGGAAACATCCAAGCCATGACGCCCGAGTGGACGAAAAATTAAGGCACAACAGAAGCGCTCCAGTTGAGTGACCAGTAACCGATAAGCATCGTTCCGGAGTGCTAGAAACCGGTTGTTTTGCCGCAAAAAACTACAGTATGCTTCAGGAATACGATGTGGTTGGAAGAAGATGTTGAACGGGAGGCAGAAGGATAAAGAAACTAACAACACAAACGCCACTCAGGTTGGTTCCTAGCCATGTCAACAAATGTGTCAAACCAAACGTGTTCGTCGTCTTTCGAACCCCAACCAGGTAGTCGAGAAGCTCCAACCAAGGCCAATTTCAAACAATGGACCTACATTCCTCCTGCTAAGTTAATCGCTCCGCTTAACCTCTTCTTCTTCCAACCACACCCTTGACAAGAAAACAACGAACGTCACGGGAGTCGGTGTGCTGTCATGCGCAACACGTGGCCTAGCCTAGTTTATCAGATTGTAATCTCAACAGTCTAGCAACTAGACATAGAGCCAACAAAGCCATGGATATCAGTGGATAGGAGACAGTCATTGCGTCATAATCATCGTGGCGTGGTAGTTGAACGTGGGCAACACACTTCAGCTAATAAGCGGCAAGAAGAATGGAACATTTTGGCAAAAAATAGCACAAAACCTTTTTTGTTTGTCTGCCACACGCCGATTTTTTTTGTCATTTTCCATATTGGTAGTACTAAACATGTGAATCAATACAATGCTGTACACAATTCTTCCACTAATTCCGGTTGCGGGCCATGTCTTCAAGAGTACCAAGCCATTGGCACTCCTCATCTTTGGGTCCCCATTTTGGAAGACGTACGGATCCAACAGCGGCTAGACACGACCGCAGCGATTCCATGTGCTGCCGCCAAGTGGAAGGCTGACCACCACGCGGTCGCCTCTAGCCAGGTCCTTGACGAGCGAATAGAGCGCGACGCGGTAGACGCTCAGGTGCCATGCGTAGGACATGACCGAGCCATCTTAACTGGCGCAACAAAACCAGTTTGTTGAAGGAAATACTTGCATTCCCCAAGATGCGACGTCGAACGTCATTACTGGTAACTCGATGTTGCCACCGAACACGAGCGATCCTCCTTAAGCAACCGTTATGGAGGGCAGAAAGACGACGCATGTCTTCCACGCGAATCGGCCAGGACTAGCACCCATACAACAATACTGAGCGAACTGATGCGTTGTAAACGCGGCCCTTTAGTGAGAATGAGACGTCACGACGGCGCCACAAGTGCCTCAAATTGACAAATGCTGATCGAGCTTTAGCGATGCGAAGCGAAACTTCTTTGTTGATTACCGTTCTGAGTGGTTCACTTCCGCTTTCTGTGTCAAAAGAATGCGCCAAACACGCTTATTGTTCACTCGATGTTCCCACCAGATCTGAGCCAAACTGCGAACGTATTGGTGGTCGAACGTTACTATCCTCCCTACGTCTACCGATCCTACGGGTCAGGTTTCACAACCACACCTTAGACTCGAACATACGGTTGCATTGTATATTCTGCCGTTCAAGGAGAGAAAGGTATTGTGTCTGCACCACAGATGGCGAAGGTCAACAAAAGCGCCTCAAGGTTTTGTTATACGGTTCGTGGCCTCATTTTCGATTGCACAAGCGCTGATACAACTGCCGAGATAGTTACGCTTCTGATCGACTTCTGGCCGTTCTCCACCATGGGTTAGCGCAGAAGGTGTTCCCTGCCAATTTTGAAAGAAACCTTTGCACTTTGACAGTGCAAAGCAATACGCGAAGCGGCTGCTAATCAGTTTTAAACTGTCCAGTGAAGCTTGGTACATTTGTTAGCATTCACAAATGTGAACAATGTCGTCAGCACACGTCAACTCAAGAAGTCGCTCACCTGGGAACAGACCCTCACCTTCTAAGTCATGCCCTGTAAACGTTAACCATTCTTTCGCCAATACCAAGCTGGAGAGGAAAGGTGACAGCTGGAGTCCCTGTGTTACATCGCAGGAGATAATAAAGAGCAGCGACAGCTTGCCGTTAGCCATCATAATACTTGAGCTATGCGCGCAAATTGCTCGGATAATATTTGCATATTTCTTGGGCGTCTTTCCTAAGCAAACAATTCCATAGAACACATCGATTCATCGAATGGAATGCACCTTTGCTGTCGAAGAACATGGCGACGGTTGGCCGCCAATATTTGGGGAGCTTCTGCAACAATTGACGCATACTTCTCGATACAGCATCGACGAAACCCGGCTTACTTCTCACGAATCTGGCTCTTATGATGCTGGCTAGCCGAACAACCTCCTCGTGGTGCCAGCTGGGTGGTTCGGGTTTTACCCGTTCCAGCTAATAGTTCGGCGGCAGTGTTCCAGGACGTGGTGGGTTTTCGCCTGGCAAGCGTTCTCCCTATAAAAAGCCACAAATGTCTGCTTAACAACACTGTGACGTGGCGGTCGTGGCTCGCCACAAAATAAAGTCACTGCCCCGTGGATATCTGGATAATCCTTTCCAACCCACGGACACCAATCTTCCAATCGCACCTTGCAGACGATAGCAAACATTCAAGAATGGAGCAGCACAATTACCAGCGCAAGTTACACAGCTACATAAACGCACACACAATTACATACTTACATTCCCCTACACAAACAAGCACCTTTATGGCAAACATATCGGATTTTTGCAACTTCTTGATCACGCATCGTTTTTTCAAAATGATCATGCCTGTAAAGGCGTGCCTCGCTTTGCCGAGAATAAACGCTTTATTTATTTATTTGCATTTCTCTGAGGTATTTTTACTGACATGCCAAATGCCAGTTATACTGTACGTGCAAGAAGATATTCGAAAATGCAGGTATATGCGTTAAACACAGTTGAACTAATAACGAGCACTTCTATCAAGTCAGTATCATAGAGATTGCCTGCGTTTCCCGTTCTCGATTGCTGATCTTGAACGGATTTGCAGCGGTCTGGAGATTCCCCCGGTTTGCATGAGCAAGTTGAGTAGAATACTATACAAATTTGTCATTTTATCGTACACCTAAATGTTCGATGCAGAATGTTAAGCTGCACACTGAATCTATGTGGCTGGTCCATGAACATCACACACTGCGCCACGGTTTGATCCCCACGTCGTTCCATCATCACGTATTACTCAGACATCTTTCACTAACTAGCATAAGTCATAACGGTGTCGCTTTTTCAGCACATATACGGGACTGTTGTACAACTTCTCAATACACACACCTCGTTACTTCTGTGCTCTCTCATTCAGGAGTTGAACTCACTGGTAGCTATACGGACACGGCCAGTCTATTAGCATGAGCCCACTACTCACGTTAAAGCATCATGCTTCCGTAACTCTACTTTAAGCAATCCCTTGGGTATCTGTCTTTATTTCAGTAGTTGTCTAGTTGGTGCGTATTTGGGATCTCCAAAAAGTATGCAAAGATAAAGTGCTATAAAATGCCTTCGTGATTATCGGTTACTTTAAGAAACAACGCGAGATTTAACGTTAAAAAAGCTAAGCTATGTCACAGGTTATGAAGTCGTCCATGCGACAAATCTTATGCTACACAATTGGGTATCGCATAATTCATCGCTGTAACTGTTACTGCCTTAGTTTACTGGTCAGAAACATCATGTTCATCTAAAGACAGTACAGTGCCCCTCCCATGCATTGTTCATTAAATTGCCGAGAAGTAAAGATGTCAGTAGTCGACATAGCAACTTAACTCACCTTTCCTGAGTCAAAAATCTGTGACTTTAAAATATCTTGTTGCATAGGCAGCTGCATTGGATTCACTTCAGCTGAAGTTGCTGCGAATTTAGAGAGTCTTTCCGTTAGCTCCAGTAGTAGCTTCCTTTTAACTGGTTGTAAATTGTCTTCTTCACTAATGCATTTCTTGATTGGTTTTATGCTAGTTACTTTGTGTTTAGGTGCTTGCTCAAACGGAGTTAGTAGTTTTGGGGAAACCACATAATTCGTGCCTAGTTGCTGCGTCTTTTTCATGTTGGATGATAAATCAACTTGTCTTGGATTTGCCATGCGAGGAGGAGTTCCGCCACTACGAAACTGTTCTTCCAGCTTTTGTGTAAGTTCCAGATATTCTGGTCTCTCTTTAATTGAATTTTTTGACGATCTGTAGCTTGCCGATCTTCGTAACATACTAAGATTACTGCGGACATCCGCCTTTTGTAATGATTTACTTGCAGTTTGTTCCGGAAAAACTCTGGATTTGCTTTCGGCAGATGCATATTTCTCAACACTTTCTACTATTGGTTCCTTTAATGGTAGCATTTGACACCTTTTAATAGGATCAAAATCCTCGTTTTCCAAGCAATTTATCAATATATTTCTTCTAGTGATAATTCTTTGTCCATCTGGTTCATTTTCTTCCGAAGTGTCCATTTGAGTCTTGGAAAAATTAGGTGCGACATGCGTTATACTTATGTGCTTCTCATTCCCTTGACGCGAGAACTCAGGTAATGATACGTCACGACACATTAATGCATCCTTGGCTACATCATGCATTTTTATACTGTAACCACACAGCTTGGCAACATCCATTCTGTCTTTTGATTCATATCGTGAAAGAAAGGACTTGCCCATCTTGGAACTTCGAAATTCATCAAATTTTTGAGGAGACGTAATTAATTTATCAGAAACGGTTCCCGCCACATTTATTTCGTAATTATCAACTGTTTTCCTAATCATTATTTGGTCATTCGGATTAACAGAACTATTCACTTTGTTTTTATGCCCTTTGAAATTTACAGGAAAAAGGCTAATTTTTTGAAAAGTATTTTTTAAAGACTGGAAACTTGAGTGCTTTTCCTTTTCTTTCATCAGATTTTTCGGTGATTTGCATTTGTCACTTTTTGATAACATATTGATAAGATCTTTGTCACTATTAGGCAAAGTTGATTTTGGAGATTGTAAGTAAGTGAAAGATTTCCTATATTCACCGTTGTTGGCCTCAGCGTTATCACTCGAATTCCGACTGAAATATAAGCTCCTCGTAGACGAGTGCCTAGAATTTATGGAGGTTGCGGAAAACCGGTTGCTGGTCTCCATGTCGCATGGAATTATGCACGATGCTGGGCGCACGGTGTTAAACGTACGTGGAGAAACGATTTTATCCTGCCGTCTAATATTGTCTAAGGAGTGATATCTACTCTTGTATAACGGAGTAACAGCTTCTATACAAACACTGGTCCGTCTCTCTTCAACAGTTCCGGAGGATTTGCGCTGGGTATTGTGTTTTGTAATGTAGTTATCGGATGCGTGTACTGTGAGTATACTGTTTGCATTGAGTTGTTTAGGGGAAGTAAATTTTAACATTTCGCTTGTGCATACTTGCCGCCCACATGTCAAGTCCTCTAATAACTTGTTGTGGTGATCTGTCACTTGGCTTTCTGTGGTCATTCGCGAAGCAAACTTAGGCTTATTTTTGAGAGTCATCTGCTGCGGAAGCATTGCTCCTCTTTCGTCCTCAAATACACATGATGCGCCTTCATTATACAAGGTCATATCTATTCCCAGAGATACATTATTACTTGTGTCTTCTTTCATTCCGCCCAATTTCCTAAACTTTTCTACCTTGTCCAAAGTAACCATTCCATCTCTGAAACCTTTTGCGGCTATGGACTCATTTGAGACGAAATGACCGTCATGACGTTGCGCAGCGTTCCTGTTGGCATTGCTATTGTTCACAGCCTCATCACAACGTTTGTCATTTTGATCCGCTTCGTCAGAGATTACAGTAAAATTGCATACACTACTACCGTGAGAAACACGAGAATTCTTTCTTTTCATTAACGAAACTTGCGAATTTGTTCCTCCACTGCATGTACGTAGGAATGGCTCGTACATGTCTTTGGCTTCGTTAGCAACATAATTTGAATGTGGCCAAATATTCTTGCTTGATGGGTTGATCTCCACTGCACGCTTGTTCTCATCATAGCCGCTTGTTCCAGCGATACTGCTACTCCTGCTGCTCACGAAGCTGTTTATTGAGGTCGACTGGAAGCTTGAACGGTTTGCTGAGTCAAAATCATCTTGTCCTGCAGTTAAAACAATAGATCTGTTTTTAGTTGGCAGATGTGTTGTATAATGTGTTTTGTCGCTTGCCTGCTTCACATCAGTGAGCAGTCGAGAAATAAGCGGATTATATGATGGACTTTCCATCATGAGAGGAATATCATATCCGTAAATGCAGTTTCCTTTGGACATCTGGTCGGAAGAACATGTGGTGGAAGAGAAAAGGGAGTTTGGCGACAACGAATGTGCTTGGTTATGATGGATATCATCCGTGGTTCCTGTCCTAAGCGAGGTCATTTGCTTCTTATATTTAAAAATATTGCTGTCCGATAAACTTGAAATGACTGTCATCCCCTGGTTGTCTTTCGGACTAACGTATTTGTCGGAACATGCTTGGTCATCTGTAATCACATTAGTTGTTTTTGCACCGATAAAGCTTGACGAATTGCAAGCGCTTGAGTTTGTTCCAACGTCGAAACGCGAATTATGCAGCCCAGCTGTGGGAGTATGGGGCCATAGTTCCGGTTTGGTAATTGGGGAAACTGGGTTTGTATGATGGTTCGAATGACACTCCATTTCATTGCAGAATTTCTCTCGGTTTTGTTTGACAATCCCAGGCTGAATGCCGAATGGGGAGCAGACAGGAGTTTCTGGTGACTGGTGGTTTTGGTGTCTACCAAAGTGAGCGAATGTATCAGCATCTGTCTTTAGAAACTTCATTTTGCTTTCTAAAGTTCCGTCATGTTTACTTGTAAAATTCTTTGGTGGCTTGTGGTTAGTTGCGCAACTGTAGTAGTGATGTGATATTGATAGAGCTAAAATGACACAAAAGTGAACAATCAGTCGCCCACTTTAAACCTTTGAGGAAGTGCAGAACAAGCGCAATCCAACTCTAGTGATGACAGATTGCAAATAACATACTGAGCGGGAAAGTTCAGTAACTGAGATAATTTTTGGTGCAGAATCTATGAGAGAATATGTTTAAGGTACATTGTAAGCACGAGAGCATTATGTATGTTACGTACGTAAAAAGGCATCAGCAGTAGGATGGTGCGCAGTGCCGTCGCTTCGTTGCCGCGCAGTCGCCACTAGTCGCACGTGGATTAAGGACATTGCGAAGGTCGCTAGTTCCCCTACACAGACTCGAACCCGCGCCCCCGAATTACAAGGAAGGCATGTGAGACTTAAGGTTACGGGACGATATATGCAGTGTTACATGCGGACTTGTGTAATTAAATTTGCTTTTTATGGCGCAAATTGCTGCAATAACTGTCGATGTTGCCGTTCTCTCCTTTGCTGTATTTCGTGTGACCTATTGATCTAAGAGCTCTTCAGACGCACGTGGGCGTGTTTACACGAAAATGTTAGCACTTTTTTGTTTATACGACGTGGCTGCTTAATTTCGATGAAGTAGTTGCACTAATGTTGTGTTTACTGCAACAGGAAGGGATACGGCTGAATACAGTAAGTGCAAGCTACGTTTCGTGAGTTTTGTAATGCATGTACGTATATCAATCATGGTTGCAAGGCCAGCATTATAAGAAGCGTCAAGGGTGGTTATTAAGAGTTGGGTATCTACTGTGTGACGCAGTGCCACACTGTGCCCCAGGGTTCAGTTCTAGGTCCACGATGGTTTTTTGTGATCATCAGTGACTTTGCACGGAAAATTGCTTTGAATTTCCTGCTGTTTGCTGACAAGATCATGAGATGGCGCCGAATTCAGGCGGATGCTGATCAGAATTCCCTTCAGTGTGACCTAGATGTGGTACATGAGTGGTCAAACCGAAATCTGTTACAGTGTAACGTGAACGATGTGAGGTAGTTTCCATCCGATACCAATGTACTGATTTCTACAACTTAGGAACGCAAGTACTGCAGCTATCATCCGTCGAACGCGACCTTGGGGTGCCAGTTCAGGATGACTTGGGTCATTCCAAGCAGCCCGCAAAAGCATCGTAAATTTGTAAGCAGCACGTCGGCTTGCTACGGCGGGCGTTCGGACAAATAGATACTGGAATTTTCAGACAGATGCTGAGTGCGTATGTTTGCCTTCGTGTCAAATACACAAGCAAAGCCTGGCAGCCATGGCTGAAGCACGGCCTTAATGCACTGGACCAACCTCAAAGTCGGGCTTTTAACTACGGCACTGCAATGTGCCACCTTACTTAAGAGCAGAGACTGAAACGCTTGGGAGTATTCAGTAGTCTGTAGTGCCTAATACGAGGCGACATGATTGTGGCATATTTGGTTTTACACAAGCCAAACCATGTATGCTAGCGTGTGTAAAACAAAACGTGTGAGCTAGCGGACGCACACTTTCAGGTTCCAGTTGCAGAGGAGTGTAGAACATGACTAAAGGTTAATAAGCACATCTGACATTTCCAGTACAACCGGCTACCATTTGGGGTGAAAACTGCACCGGCCATTTTCGAACAAATTATGGATGCCCTGCTGAACGACTCCCATAATACCGCAGTCTACCTTGATAATACCTCGATTATGGGTGCAAACACGCATGATATGATGCGCACTCTGGGGAGAGTTGTTTCACGTGTGGAAGCAGCCGACTTCGATTACAAGTTGAAAAATGTGCGTTCATGTTAGATAGTGCCAAGTTCCTTGAGTTTACCACAGACCAACATAGCCGGCGCTCGAAGCCCGCCAATATCAAAGCTACCAAACAGATGAATCCACCGATGATGTCGCAGAGCTTCGCACTTTTCTCAGTCTCGTGAATCATTACAGTGCTTTTCTACAAGGCTTGCATCACACCAGGGATCCGCTGAACTAGTTGCTGACGAAGGATAATGTTTGGCAATGAATGAGAAGATGCCAACAGTCCGTTGAGGCAGTTAAAGCAGCGCTCACTTTTGCTGTACACTTGACTCATTTCAATCCCAAGTTGAAAGTTATCGTTGCCTCATACACTTCCAATTATGATATCAGAGTCAATATTTCCCACATTTTTCCGAACGGAGGAGAGAGGATTGTGCGTGCGTAGCACAGTCCCTAACGTCTGCTGAAAAGTACTATAGTCAGGTTGAAAAGTAAGCTCTTACAATTGTCCTCACCATGAAGCGGTTCCACAAGAGACTTTATGGCAGGCAGTTCACGCTCTTGACTGGGCGAAAGCCATTGCTGTCAATGTTTGGTTAAATCAAAGGAAATCCCGTTGTTACCGTGGAGCGGTTACAAACTTGGGCGACTATAATAGTGGCCTACGATTTCAGTATAAAATATCGACCTACGCAACAAAGCGGCTAAGCGGAGCCCCTAACTTGTCTTGTCAATCCGTACTCTAAGGAGCACGAGGATTGTGTGGTTGCAGCTATTAAGTTTGAAGCAGGTGCCAAGCGAATCCTGACCGATAACGCAAGATGATTACCAGTGACTGCTGAAGTCATTCGGGCGAAGGCTTACCGAAACAGTACCATAAAAAGCGAGGGCTCACGCGCAAACACGTCGGCCAAAAGCTGCTGCCTTAAGGTTTTTCTTCAACCGTAGTGAGCCACTGTCCGTTGGGTATAATTGGTTGATGCGTGGATATCGAGTGGTGGTGTGAAGGAACTTTAATGCAATTCTCAAAGCAGCTTCATACCACGCAGCAAGGTACAAGCTGTAAGCAAAATGGCATGTCCTTTTTTGTTGGCTCGGAATGGGTACATAAATTCAAAACAATCCTGACAGAAAGGTGGATCTCGTCAAATGGCAGCGAATGCCTTTCCCAAGTGCTTTTGCAACCTTGGGCCAAAGCACAGAAGCCATGGAAGTGATGCCACTTAGATTATGCAGGACTAATTGCCCGCCAATCCTATCTTCTGTTAGTGGATTCTTCCAACAAGAGGCCCGATGTGGTCCCCATGCAAAGTCCGATTACCCAGCACAAGATCAACGAGCTGGATATTATTATTTCCTTTTACACGTTAGCTAGAGATGGAAAATACTTCAACCACTGTGTTGCACTATTTTGGTCGGAAGACATGATGGCGACAAATAACGGGACACATTGCACTTTACCTTTATTTTGCGTGTGTTGTAAGGAAAAAGTAAGCAATGGATGTTATCGCCACCCTATCATCCGCAAGCAAACGGACAGGCGAAACGGTACGTGGATACCTCCAAACTTGCTGTATCTAAAGAGGGACAAAGTATGTGCCAACAGGACGCAATTCAGTTATTCCAGTGCATGTATCGGGATAGGTCATGCCCAAACATCTCAGATAGAAACGCCCATGCCGAAGCTTTGTTTGGACGAAAGATCCGGACATTGTTCGGCAACTTTGTGCCAAGCAAGAAAAAAAGCACTGCAGTTGTCAAGTGAAGGTAAATCTGAGATAGACTCCGTAGGTTCAAAATTCATTGCACGCTTTGTGTGCGAGCATTCCGAGGACCGAGATCATGGTCCAAAGGAACAGCAATAGGCAGAAGTGGTCGATTAACTTACGAACTGATGATAAGGAAGGATAAATAAGACACCTCAATCAGCTGAGACAGAATTACAGCAAGACCCGAAGTCCCGCAGAACCACCATCCCTACCGTGCGATATCCTGCTAGACACGTTTGGCTTAGAGGACAAACGTGGGCGGCTCCGTTGATAACAATAGGAGATGTAAGTAACAAATGATGTACAATACAGGCGGACCCGAACGCGAGGACGATAAATGATACAGGTGACCCCAAGGCAAACGGTTACGAACATAGTCAAGTTCGAACAGTAAGCAAGCAAAATCAACTCGAAAGGAGACGCATTAGCCGGCCGCAACGAAAGAACGTTGTGCCAAGATTTCGAGACGTGAGATGGGTCTGCGGCAAGTTAGGTGGGAAGCTGATGAAATCAGTGCGTCATCATGGCACAGATTGCTGGGCGGATGGCGCGAGAAAGGCTATAGCTGGCCAGTAGAGACAACTAGCAGGTATGTATCTGTCTAGACATGTGCCGTGAGTCGGCGCAGAAACTGCAGCCGAGGTGATGGCAAGTGATCTGCGAAAGTAACCGTGTTCTCTTCCTAATACAGTTTGGTCTGGCTGGCCTCAGGCTTCTGTTTTTCTTCCGGCTGGGTTTGCGGCACAGTGAGCAGAGGCAAGGGCACCATTACAACAAAGTAAAAGACGAAAATACTCATTTAAATTCTGGTTGCAAATAAACGCAACCATTTGTTGAAGCCACTCGACGCGGTGTTTTGGATTTCGTAAGATGCCGATGCCATTTAAAGATACACTACAGCTAACGCGCCCATATTCATTCTGTTTGTTTGCACCAGCGCTTTATTAGGGGAGAAGCTATATTTAGCATGACATTATAAGCCAGTGCCGTGTTTCTGTGCCATTTCTGTAAAATTAAGGTCAAACTTATGAGTGGATATACACGATAAAAGTTATTGGGCGATCGCGACACAGTGTAAGTAAGTAGACATCATGACATGTAATGGCTTATTCAGCACGTGGTGGCTTTTTTATTGCGCCAGCACATTGCATGTTGTAATGCTGAACAACGTCGACCTTGTCGTCTTAATTGAACGTAACCGTCGGGATATGCGTATTTGAGACACCCCTTGCCTCTCCCCTATAATTACCGGGACCAAAACCCTTGCTATATTCTTCAGTGATTATGCACTGTACCTAAACGCTGGAAGAAAAGCTAGCACCTACGAATCCTAGGCTAGGTAACCTTCCAGTTCATTAATTAGTGTAGAGAGCAACATGGCACGAGAAATCAAAGCTTTCAGGTAGTATGCTTTGAAATTAACCAAATAGCCACAGTTTGCAGACTGCAAATGGCTCAGTTACGTACAATAGCGTATGTTTGAAGCTTGTTCTC